TCGTTTATTGCCAAGTGGCTGTTAGAAGATATAACCAAAAATCTTGATCCTAATAAGTTTGGAAATCGTAAAAAAGGCTTATCGACGACACATTACCTCATTGGTTTGATACACCAGATATTGGAGAATGCAGAAAACGTGAAATTTACATCAACGATATTGACTACAGATTATTCGAAAGCCTTCGATAGAATAAACCACAATGTTTTAGTTCAAAAACTTCTCAATTTTGATGTCAGACCATGCCTTATAAACTGGATAATGAGCTTTTTGGATAATCGATTGCAGTGTGTAAAATATAATGGAACAAAATCAAACTGGAATGTCATAAATACAGGAGTTCCACAAGGAACAAAACTTGGACCTTTATTATTTTTGATACTAATGAATGATGCATGCCAAGATTCCATTATACCGTATTTCAAATACGTAGACGATTTGTCAATGGTAGAAAGCAGGAGTATATGTAAAGCCTCAAAATTACAAGATGAACTTCGCAAACTACAGGAATGGTCTAATAGAAATGATATGAAACTAAATGCCTCTAAATGTTCAGTTATGCAAATCTCCTTTTGTAAGCAACCTGTACAACAGACGGCCTTGTTTATTGATGATATGCAATGTAGAATCTGCCAAAATATTGGGTTTGATCTTACAGAGTGACCTAAAATGGAATAAACACGTAACTGATCTCTTGAAGAGAAGTAACAAGAAGTTGTACATACTCAGGAGACTGAAATCATTCAAACTACCTATTGTAGATCTTATCACCATATTTAGAGGATATATAAGACCGATTGTAGAGTACTGTACCCCTGTGTTCAACTGTACCCCTGTACCCCTGTGTACCCCTCTTACAAAACAGCACATCTATGCACTTGAATCAATTCAAAAGAGAGCATGTAGAATAATTCTGGGTAGTAGTTATACTTCATACAATGTTGCATTAGAAACATGTAACTTAGTGACTCTTGAGTAAAGAAGAAAACAACTATGTCTTACATTTGCTCATAATCTGGAAGAAAATCCCTTTTCATTGAATTGGCTAGTTAAAAAACAGGAAAGTCGCTACTGCTTGAGGAGAACAACAAAGTACACCCAGTACAAGTGCAAAACTAACAGATTTAGAAAGAGTGCAATACCATACCTTATAGATCTTCTAAATAATGAATAATTGAAATGTATTTTTACACAATGTATATATATATTAACAATATTTGATAAATATGTTTATCATTATCTAATGTTTTAATACATACCCATCTATGATTTAGTTTTAACGTAGGAAACCATGTTTTACAACCCACTCTGGAATATGTTTATCTTTTTACAGAGACATCAATTTATAATTATGAACTTACCGTTGATGAACAGGCAACATAGAGCAACATTTTGCTGACTTTTAATTTTCAATGAATATGAATTGTTAAAGACACAGGTGCAATAATTTCAGTATTAGCTTTTTACTTATTTATATGTTATGTATTATATTGCTTTTGATCAATTGTTGTTATTACTATTGTGAAGTTTAATAGATTTTAAAAATGTAAATAATATATAGTGATTGGTTTTAAATGCTACACATGAATACTGTTAAATGTTACCAATACTGTTTGAATGAATGATTGTAACAAATGAAATATAATGTTATGTAATGAAGCTCATGTATACGTGTAAACATGCACAATTCAGCATTTTGGCTGCGAGGCATTGTTTTTTAATAAAACCATTATTGAATTGAATGAACTACAGATCCTTCCACCATCCATCCGTACTACAATCAGTCCCCTGTCCCCATCGCCCTCATCCGCCGAGCCCATCAACTCAGCGATGCAGGCCATCTAGACCAGGAAATCCAGCATGTCACCACAGCCCTAGCTAGCACCAACAAATACCCAAGACATAAGATCAAATCCAAGACTCCCGCCGACAAGCCCGCAGCCAACACCACCCCTGAAGAGAACCAACCCGCAGCTTCACCACCGAAGCAAACTGTTGTTCTTCCCTATATCGGTCAAGCCTCTCACAAGATTCAACGTATCCTTCAAGCAGCAGACATCCAAGTTCGACACAGTTCCTCCAACAAACTCCATTCGATACTCCACTCCCACAAAGACAAGCATCCAAACCACAAGAAAGCTGGAGTCTACAAAATACCATGCGAATGTGGAAAAGTCTACATGGTGAAACGGGGAGAAATCTGGAAACAAAACTCAAGGAGCACAGAATCAGCTTCAGACTCAGCGATTGGGATAAGTCCGCCATCGTCAAACACGTCCAGCAACACGAACACACCATCGAATGGGATAACAGTCATCTCATCTCCATAATGAAGCACTGGCATACACGCCGAATCTGAGAAGCCATCGAAATTCACCGCCACAACACCGTGCCCCAAGACTCAGGATTATACATCAACGACATCTGGAAACCCCTCATCAACAAGTACCCGGTCACTCTTCCTCCACCACCGCCTCCAGCACCACCCTCACCACCCCGACAGACAACCGTACATCAACCACCACCACCCGCCGAACCCTCAAAGCAGCCGCCAGCCTCACAGCTACAATGCACAGCAGACAGACTACAACGGCGCGTACGTCGGGGACACACACAGCGTCTCTCCGATAGCACACGCCACTCATCGATTCGAAACTCTCCTAAGTCCGCAACCCGGATACTCCAGCCCAGACGGACAGTCAGACGAACCAGCCGACCATCCATGTACACTCCCCGATGACTCAAGCCCACACGGTCACCTATTTTTCCCCGACGTCCGCACCCCGGTGACTTAAGCTCACGCACGCCAGCTATTCTCCACTCCTGACGACGGATAGTCAACCTGTTCTAAACGTCGAGCCACTCATCCTCTCCAAGCGCTATAGTTCTCCTTAGAACTATATGCTAAGAAAGATAACAAACAGTTCTTTCCAAGACTACACACCCCCAAGAAAGATTACCGAGTCAGAGTCCTTTTCAGGACTCCTCAACCCTCTCTCTCTCACACACATGGTGCACCCGCAAGCCTACTGTAAAACTGAGATGTTAAATTGTTTTCATAGCATCTAGCGTTACTAACACGATCGCAACAATTTTAAATTAATCATCGGAATGGCAATTTCAATACTCTGTTGAATATACAATAGAAACCGCGTTCGAATATGGAAACATGTTCAAATGATGCAATACGTGATTGTCATATTCGCACATTTCATTATATGAAGTAGAAGGCTATTAAAATTGCCAGTTACTGTTTGTTGTTATAAGTAGATATGATCGTGTTGACCATGGAGTACCAAATGCAACAATCGGAGGAGTCCATACAGTCACCTTTTATTTCATAACACTGGTAGCAAATGTCTCCTTTCTCCTCCTGGAAGTGAACTTTATATCCATCAAACCCTAGGTGATCCTAAATTCGGATAACTTCATCAAATGTGGAGGGAATGATTGAGTAACAACTAGTGCCCGGTAAAAGTGTCAGATGTTAAATGTCATTAAAAAAGGCTCGACGTAAACATTTCTGATGTAAGTGGTGAAATATGGTTAGAGGTTAAAATGCGAAAAGTGAGAATACCGAGCTGAGAATGTCAAAGGTAAAACTGTCACAGTCATGGGTAAAGTTCTTGAATTAGATGTAGGAGTTGGGAATGCCAGAGGTACCAATGACAGATGTAATTTTCTGACTTGTTTACCTCTGACACGTTTACCTCTGATATGTTTACCTATGACATGATTACCTCTAAATAAAAATTAACCTGTGACATTTTGTTACCTCTGACATTCTTTAGTAAACCTGGGAAACTTTTATTTTAAAAAAGACAACAGCTTGATCATCAAATCCAACCTTTGCTATGGAAACTAATTTTTTTTTTTTTATAATGCTTTAATTTTTGATTACCTTGCTTTCCACTTGTTCTCCCTCGCGATGACACGTCACTGTGACGTCACCAGACTTAGATTCAACACTGAAGGGAACGGAACGATGGCTCTTGTGGTACGACTGCTGTTTGTTCTCCTCATGTATATCCTAATCCACAGGGAAAAATTACCGTCGACACGCATCAGTGTTAATTACATGTACATTGATTAAATATCACAAAAATTATATTAGAGAAGAATATTCTTTTTTTGTGAAGACAAATTTCTAATCTTAACAGATGACTATATAAATAACTAGTACATCACTCTAAAGAGTTCTACACAGTGAGCAATCACAGTTCTAAAAAATAAGGTAGAACAAAACATAATATTTACCCTACCTACGCATGCAATTCGCATTCCGACTATTGAAATACAATTATTTGTAACAGGTGAATAACAAAATTGTAACGAATCGCTTAGCAAAAAAGTGCGCATTAGATTTGATTTCATCACGAAAATTGTATATTTCCTTAAAATACATAATAACCATGCCTTGAAAGTTATGTTAAACTTATTAACCCCTTTGCAACCATGAAGATGAATGATTTTCTTTATGAAGGGCTCTGTGTACTTGCTGAATAACACAAACAATTGCATAATTCATTGGGAATAAATTGCAAAACCATACATCGCAAGGGTTCGAAGAATCGTCCTGTGGGGCTAAGTACAGGACAAGGCTTTGAAACATTACAGTTTCCAATTTGCAACATGCTTTCTTAGAGTATTCATCTGATTTGAAACGAATTACCATTACTATGCTTTCTTTATAGTTTCGTTGAGACTTTGATTCATCAAAGCTTCTCCTAAAACTGGAATCAGACCTCTTAAAGAAGCCAGTAGAAACTGGTGAAACATCGCGAAGTAGGCCTATTTGTTAGTAGTAAATAATAATCAGGTGCTTTTTACTGACCGTTTCTATCCCAGGAAGGTCCGTATGCATCTGAAGGTGAACTACGAATTCACTGCCTCTCTCTATCCTGTCTGGGATATACGGAGTGCACAGAAGTTGGTGTCGGATCACCTGTTGTTCGAGAGGAATAAGAACCCACCACTCAGCACAGTGACCAATATACAGCTCAATATGTCTCTTGTACACTCTGCAGTATGGTGGCTCGTCTGGTGAGCTGGATGATCTCTTTCTTGATGTTCTTGGTAGATCTGGTGTCAATTGTTATAAAACAAATTTCATTTGCTGTAAGGAAATTTTATTTCGTCATGGAGCCGATTTATCCTTTAAACCGTTACACCTCAATGCTGACACAAAATATTTATATCCACGTTGGTGTTCTTGCCAACTGTAATTGTTTTAAATTGCTTGAAGTTCATGTAACCATCCTTAAGAGCACTAACTCCCCTTTACTTGTTTACCTTTTAAAAGTTTCCGCAAATAAATAGGCATTTCGAATTGTTCCTCATGACGTTATGAATGACCACGATACCTAGAGGCTAGAGGGGGAACTACCAACCAAGAGATTACACCTCACACTTCGCGATGGTGTGTTCCTATAGCAAAGGAGACGTAGGAAATAATGGATAAGATATTATTTTCAATTTGTGTTAAGAATGTATTTTTAAAGGGCTGTGTCTCCCAAGCTAGTTGTGAATCTCGTGACATCACTTTCCGTTTATCCCAGCATTAAGAATGGCTCATTTTCAAACTCTGACCCAATCGGCTTACCCTTTGGTGAATCCCATACACGCCAAACGATGTCAGGCTTCAATTGATCTGAGTTGACGATGCAGGCTGAATGTGGTATCTTGATCTTAACCGGTTGATGGAAGATCATATTTAGAGGGTCACATCTAATCCCGTAGCAGGCCACTGATTCACCCCTCTGGCTATTGATGCTTGGAGAATCTTGTACCTTGGTTAATGTAATCTTGCAGGAGTCACTCTTTTTAACAGCCCCTAGTGGGATAGACATTGATATACCAAGATCCGCCAGTTCTAGCTGCTTTCCGCCATTATCGACATGAACAGACACTGTAACCAAGGGTATGGCTTCTTCATCTGTACACAAGAAGAAGTCAAGGGATTACCAACAAATGGTGGAAATGAAGAGTTCCCCAGGGTTCAGAGGATAATAAACTGAAACCTAGGAACATCGGATATAAAGCTAGTGATTGAAAAATGACCAAGCATCTATATTCATTCGAGGCGGAGAAAATATATATCTTGAATATCCATTGGATACGAGAGTAGGACGTATAGTAAGCCAATAATGTGTATTAACTCGTACCTAAGTGTAAACGGCAATTTTTCGTTTTAATAGATGAATGAGTGCATTTTCACAACGAAATAAAGACTGGATGAGTAACATATATTGCAGTTGAAACAATGCACGAGAAAGTAAATGTTTTATCTCTGTATATCCTACTTTACCTCGATATCTTGCGATCATATCTACTGACGGTAACCTATAATTTTGAGGGTACAAAGAGAGACAAAAGAGAGATTATAAGTATTGATGATTTGATTTAAAATCATATCATAGAGTAAAACATAAGGGCTTTTGATGATCATCTTCAGCCATGATATGAATATAGAGAATATAAAAGAACAAATCAACGTTCCAATAGGCCCAGAGTCCAGGGTTTAGAGTTGACATTCTAAGCAAATAAATGTCCATTAATTTATACCTACGGCAAGCATATGATATTTATAAGTTGTTCATTTACATAGTATATATCACAAAACATTGCTGGCTACTCGATATCCTCAATTGAAATGTAGAAAAATAGCCTCTTCTCTTTGTATAGAAAATCAGTCACGGAGTCACGACTGGGAAATATATACACGTACCCGGATGTTCCATGGAAAAGCATATTGTGCAGAGAGATAGGATTTTCTGCTTATTTTGTTTCAAAGGCTGAAAAGTCCAACGAATCATAATTCTATCTACAATTGTTTACCTTCCCCCTAATAGATCATAGTATTAATATCAATAACCCTTTTTTAAGAATTATGACGTGTACATGCCAATGATGTGCATTAGTCGATAATTTTCACTATGTAATATTTTCGTTTGTTGATGATTTTGTCATTTAAATTGTATTTTATTTCAAATTTGACACTCAGTTTTTCATTATCTCGCAAAAAATATTTTGTGTAGCGCCCTCTGGCAACAGAATTCAACTATCCCTTTCAAAAAAATATAATCATTTGTTATAGAATCGTTATGGACCAGTTCTGGTCATGCGATTGTATTGTGAAAGAAACGCTGTGAAATCGTTCAGAAAAGGTTGATCATGTAGTAAATAGGTATTGGTGTGTACTACAAGGTTCTGGAATCATCAAAATGACAGAAAATTTGGCCCAGTCTTGGTAAAGTTACAAGCACTGTACACAGAAAGATGTATAGATTTCCCTATACCTATCCAGTCCGAATAGATATATTAGTTTACTAAATATATCAATTAGTAGGCGGTTTCCCGGCAAAATTTGTATAATCACGTATTAGTCCAAACATATTCTTTCACATGATTGGTAATAAGAGCTTCCATTTCATTTTTTTTTTTTTTGGGGGGGGGGGGCATTTCCAAAACTGGTATTTACCTTTAAAAGTAGTTATACATGGCTGCCATTTTTTCAGCAGCATTATTTCAAGGTAGTCCACATAAAAACTGTGCAGGCACGTTGATACCAAACAACCTTTTACATCATCCCATGTCTCAAATCCCTCAAATCGGGGGTTTGCCCCCTAGGTAATTTCGTGAACATTCTATCCAGCATCTGTGTCGATGGGTTTTACAGTTTAGCACAATAACATTTGTCTGCCCATGTGCAGATAATATCTCCGAACTGGTCCATTAATCATCAAAAGACGTAGATTGTGAACACAGATTTCCCTACCTTGAAAATATCATCTGTCGGATAACTTCATCGGAAGCATAGTGGATTGGTAGTTTGCCTTGACCATCTCTCATATCCAGCTTCGCGCCGTGCTCCAGAAGGTATAATACTAAAGTCTCCTCTGGGGAAAACTCGTGCTGATAGAAGTCCTCTGAGATCTGAGTCAACACACGAGGTGTATCAAGAGAGGTTATCTAAAACAAAAACAAAAACAAATGTGCAGTGAAAGTTAATATATGCTTATAAACTGGTCATTTTAAGGTGTGACGTTAAAGACATTTATCTATTCCATCGATGTTTTAGTTGACCAATCAAGTTACGGGAACCATCCCAGCCAATATATTAAACTACACGTTTATTTCCCATCAAAACACTTCTAAAAACACCATCAACCTAACAACCTCTCGTGCTCTCGTTCGTTAACCAAAACAAGGATGGAAAAGGGTGAATGCATCTATTATCAAATTTTTAAAAGATCTGTGTCCACTAAAGCTTTCATGACACCGTATTCCACCATACTGGGCACGAAGCGGTTGTCGATACATAGAGTGAGGGGCGTCAGTGGATATATATTCTGTCGAAATATACGAGCATCCGAACAAAGGGATGAAACAATTCCTTTCTAATTTGGTCTCCGAAATCAACACCTTTCTCAAGGAGTAATGGTATTCTCCAATTAAACCGATTAATGTTAATCCCCTATAAGCATGGCAACGGTGTATCGAATGTAGGCCAGTAAATTATGGAATATTTTTCTTGACGGATAGTTTAAAGTCGTTTTTACCTGTTGGGGTTTCCCGTTTGTTTGCCCTTTTCTGACCGTATGATCAGAAAGTTTGATGGCTTCATGAAGACAGGTTGTTCCATCGTGTGACTGGATGTTCAAGGAAGCTCCATGGTTAACCAGCGACTCGACAACTGGTGTGTGGCCATTTTGAGTGGCGAGGTGAATGGCAGTCAATCCTTCATCATCACGATGATCAAGAATCCCGTTGATCTATAAAAACAAAACAGAATGTTTCAATTATACATTATATAGACGTATTCTTTTTTTTATAGCGCACTGGCAGCAAAACGTGACCTTTCAATTATCTTCTATAGCCATATAATTATCAAGAACAATTTCACGATTTGTTATTAGCCTACACTTTGTTGGATCTGAATGGGCTTATAGTTAAGCCCAGGAACATATGGATTCTAACTAAACACCATTTAGCTATGTTTGCATTAATTATTAGATATTTCCAGAATCGTAATTTGACACTTTTTGAATTATTTGTATTGGCTCCTCATTATGTAGACGAAGGATATATTACATACCTTTGCATGCTTTGCTAAGATGTCGGAAGAATTGGCACTTCCTTTCTTTGAAGATAGATGCAGCGGGGTCTGGCCATTGGTATCCTTTACGTCAACTAGGGCTCCTTCCTCAAGCAGGACCTTAATCGTATCGACGTCACCCTTCAGAGCAGCAATGTGCAAAGGAGTGTAGCCGTTTCTGTCACTCATGTTCACACTTATACCCTGCACTAGCAAATACTTTGTGACAGCAAGATGACCCTCCTGGACAGCAATGTGTAATGCAGTACAACTGTCATTATCTCCGTTATTCACCTCAGCTCCTTGACTGATGAGATATTCGGTGACATCAAGATGACCATTCAGAGCAGCAATGTGTAATGCAGTACTACCGTCATTATCTCCCCTATTCACCTCAGCTCCTTGACTGATGAGATATCTGGTGACATCAAGATGTCCCTTCTCAGCAGAACTGTGTAATGCAGTCCTACCCTTATTGTCTCCTTCATTTACCTCAGCTCCTTGGCTGATGAGATATTCGGTGACATCAAGACGACCATTCAGAGCAGCAATGTGTAATGCAGTACAACTGTCATTATCTCCGTTATTCACCTCAGCTCCTTGGCTGATCAGATATCTGATGACATTAAGATAACCATATCGAGCAGCAAAGTGTAATGCTTTCATACCGTAATTATCTCCCCTATTCACATCAGCTCCTTGACTGATGAGATATTTGGAGATATCAAGTTTACCACCAAGAGCAGCATCGTGTAATGCAGTCCGACCCATGTTATCGTCTCCCTCATTCACCTCAACCCCTTGGCTGATCAAATATCTTGTGACATCAATGTGACCATAGAGAGCAGCAGTGCGTAATGCTGTCCGACCCTTGTTATATCCCTCATTCACCTCAGCTCCTTGACTTACCAGATACTTGATGGCATCAAGATGACCATATTGAACAGCAACATGTAATGCTTTCATACCTTTATTATCTCCCTCATTCACCTCAGCTCCTTGACTGATCAGATACTTAATGACATGAAGTTCACCACCCTTAAAAGCACTGTGTAATACAGTCCAACCCTCATTATCTCTGTCATTCCAATCAGCTCCTTGGCTGATCAGATATCTGATGACATCAAGATGACCCTTCTGAGCAGCAATGTGTAATGCTTTCATACCTTTATTGTCTCCCCTATTCACATCAGCTCCTTGACTGATCAGATACTTGATGAAATCAAGTTCACCACCATGAGCAGCACCGTGTAATACAGTCCAACCCATGTTATCTCTCTTATTCCAATCAGCGCCTTGGCTGATCAGATATTTGGTGACGTCAGGATGTCCGTTCTCAGCAGCACTGTGTAATGCAGTCCTACCCTTATTGTCTCCTTCATTTACCTCAGCTCCTTGGCTGATCAGATATTTTGTGACATGAAGATGACCATATTGAGCAGCAATGTGTAATGCTTTCACACCTTTATTATCTCCCCTATTCACATCAGCTCCTTGACTGATGAGATACTTGGAGATATCAAGTTCACCACCAAGAGCAGCACCGTGTAATGCATCTGCACCGTTATTACTTCCCTTATTCACCTCAGCCCCTTGGCTGATCAGATATTTGGTGACATCAATGCGACCATGGAAAGCAGCAATGCGTAATACAGTCCAACCCCCATTATCTCTCCCATTCACCTCAGCTCCTCGACTGATGAGATATGTGGTGACATCAAGACGACCATTCTGAGCAGCAATGTGTAATGCAGTCTTACCCTCATTATCTCCTTCATTTACCCCGGCTCCTTGACTGACGAGGTATTTCACTACTTCAAGTTTACCATTCCCTGCTGCCGTGTGTAAAGGAGACAAGCCTTTTGTATTTTCCTGATACACTTTTGCCCCCTGACTTATAAAGTATCGTACCACATCAAGATGACCATTCCTTACAGCACTGTTCAATGCAGAGTAGCCGTCTTTGTCTTCTTTGTCCAAATTAGCTCCATGACTTAGTATAAATGCTATTGCTTGAGCATTTCCGAGTGATGCAGCAAGATGTAAGGGTGTTTGTCCATTTGAAGTCGCCTTCTCCACATCAGCTCCATGAGTTATGAGATACTCGATGACAGTCTCCTGGCCATACAGGACAGCCGTGTGTAAGGGTGTGTTTCCATCTTGGTCCGTCTGGTTTATTTTAGAACCTTGTTTTAGCAGTTTTTTGACACTTTTGATTTTACCCCTTAATACCGCCTCATGAAGCTTTTGATTTATTTTCTCCATACTTGAAGTAGCGCCGGTTTATCACAGTTTCTTGTAATCGACTACTTCTCTCATTACGCTTGACTTAGATCTGTACGATTTAGAATCTAGACCATTTGTAGTAAGCAGTCCGGTTACATGTTGCATGTTACCAGCACAATTATACACTACACTGATTTTCATTTTTACAAACTCATAATCGCAATGAGCAATTGTCAATTGTGTCGTTTTCAATCAGTTCCAAAGTCCTGTGCGGTGAACTAAATCGTTACGCAAATATTTAACCTAATTAAAATATCAGTCATTCATATTCCATTGGTAAGCTTCTCTCATTCTCTTTTTCTTCTTTTTCATCAACACTCGGAAATTATCAACATTTCATTTAATATAAAATGAGTGCATCCCCCCCCCCCCCCACTTCCATTTCCCTCTAAAATAAAGGGTGGAAATGTTTGTTCTTTTCGGTTTTTTCACGGAGACATGCATTTTCATTAAACTACGTACAATATTTTCAAATGAGTGAAATAGTCTTGCCCAAAGAATGTTAAAAAGAGTCCACGTTTTGCATGTTTTATGACACAATTCATAATAAAGAGGCATATACATTTGCCCCCTATAATGACGTTTCTAACTACAAAATGATTGAAATACTAACTATGTGCGGAGGACGTTGATTCTTATAGTTGAATTACTCATGAAAAAAAGAAAATATTAACTCTGATGAACAAGGTATGGTAATTATAATGCAGTTATGGTGAGGACAAAAATTCTAGTGAAGATAATCTTAATTATGATATCAACAACGACGACGACGACGTGTCCACTATTGTTATGTGTATGGTGACCACGGTAATGAAGTGAAGATGATGATGGTGAATTATTTCCAGTTAACAGTGTTTATCCGTTGCATTGCAGACCATGGACGGACGGTGCTTGTCTTAGCAAAATACATTTTTACGAAGACTTTTCTGAGAACGTTAACCTGCTTCGTTGAATTGAGGTACACATGAATTTGTCAATATATATATTAATATTTACCACGCAATATTAACCCAACAAGGGATCAAAACGTCGTCCCCCCCCCCCAAAAAAAAAAAAGGTTTAGGACTTTGTATTTAGTGGAAAGATTCCCAGCTTCAGCGATACCCATAAAGGCAATTATATCACCTAAATGACTTCATATATGATTTGTAATCAATGTAAAAAGGAAACATGTCAAACATTGTTTCGTCACAATCATCTACTCTACATTTACATTTACATCTACATCTACTGTACTTTCAAAAGGTATGCACCTTTCCCACGCTCACGTGTGCTTGTGTTTGTGTGTTGAAGGAGGATAGTCTATGCCTATACATAACAAAAATACCGTGTTTCTACGAAATAAAGGCAGCCCTAAAAAAGAAAGGTAAGGTTCATACTATGTTGTTCAATTACGTACGAGTGAAACTTTTTGAAAGAATAGGACTTATATGGCATTCTCAACAAAGAGAGTAATGTAATAATAATCAGCAACAACGAAGAGGTAGAAGAAAACAACAGGATGATGATGGTGTTGATAGTAGTAATAACAATAATAATAATAATCATGATAATAATATTAACAATGATAATGGCACAGCTGATTACGATGACGATGATAATATTGGTACTACTACTACTACTAATAATAATAATAATGATGGTTATAGTAGCTATGATAATATGTAATAACAATGGTAATTACTTATTTCCTGACTTACAATTCTAAGTTAGGACGCTAAAATAAGTTTCACATTTCATCGGTATTTGGGCAATCGGAAGCTTGAAAAAAAAGTCTATACATATTTATAGGCAGTCATGTAACCTTGTTTCCGATTTGCAAGTCATCACTTCCGGTCTACATATGAAACAAGGGAAGATATAACAAGACCACAAATTGTCCCAAATTTCATGACACTAGCACCGTTCTTGCATATAACCAGAAAATCGGTGTCAAAACAATATTGTGAACCTTGAATACCTTTTCACACAAACACACACCCACACACACACGCTAAAAAGATTTACATTGGTGTGCAGATGTATGTGACTGTGTAAACGAATATGCATTTCATTCCCCTGACTATGTAAATAATGTGAAAGAGAGATGATAAATAATTGTGTTTTGATCAGTTCTGCGGTCTGCTGTTTGTTGAAAGCCAGCTAATTGTTATTTTGTAATACCTTCCTTGTTTACCCTTCGTTTGCTTGAAGCCAGAAGGGCGTTAAGTCTGTGTTAACGTACTGGGGCTAATACCCTTGCCCTTTTGGCTCCGAAGAGAAAACACTTTTGTCAGATGCATGCAAATGAGTACCGAGGTCCTGTTTTGAGGTTAAAATTAGCGATGACTTGTTGCTTCCTCAAGTGAAGTCATACAAATTCACCTTTCTAAAAAAAAACTTTTTATTAAAAACATCCTATAATTATGCATTGCCTCATATATAATCTTAAAAGAAAAGAGGGGTGGGTGTTTTTTAACAATATTTTAACGACAAAAAAATAATGGTACGAACATTTAAGTTTATTCATACCTCACTTTACCGATCGACGAGCATCTATTAAAGATAAACTTGAGTTCTGGTAATGCGATTGCATTGTGAAAGAAAATGTGTGGAATGGATCAGAAAAGTTGATCATATAACATGTAAGTAATGGTGTGTAATGCAAGGTTCTGGAGTCATCAAAATCATCATAAATTTGGCAGAGTCTTGGTAAAGTAACAATCACTTACACAGAAAGATGTATATGGGACAACACACATGGTTTCGGGGCTAGTACTAACCTGATTTCCTTATCTTTCTATGCTCATTACTCAGCCAGTATACATTTTCTTCCAAAATTGTTTGGCACATGACATTTATTTGTAATCTTGAACATTCAGTGTAAGTTTCGTTAGATTCTGTGAGAATTCATTTTCTTTTTTTACCAGAACTCAAGTTTATCTTTAAGTGGGATAGAAAAACTGAGAACATTCACAGGACATACCTGAATCACCCAACACGGTGGCGAATTTAATCAAGCTATCTATATTATTTCTTATACTAGTTTCATCAGCCTGGGGTGAGTTGAATGGAATCAAACCTGTCTTGGTGGCCACCTCTCTATTAAGGTCACCTTCCTACAGTGGCCACTTTATATCTCGAAATCATTTTGTATCGAAACAGACATATTTGTAAGAAAGTATAAATTGAAAAGGGTCATATATATATATATATATAGGCATTCCCAGTTTCCGTGACAATGTTCGTAGTTCACTAGGAACTGTTCAAATTGTTATGGTATGATTAGTAGGATCTCAAATTGGCACCTCAGTCAGGAGATTTAATTTTCATTCAAGGAGATAAATACTATTCTCAAGTTTCACTGATACCATAAACATACCTAGTGTCATGATAACTAATATGCATCTTCAAGAGTACATTGTCAATAAAAGTATTGATAATATCACCTTTAAACCATGTTCCGAATGACCCCGAATATCCACACATCTTCAAAACATGAAGAGGTCCCACGTTGTACATTTTGAAATAATCACTCCTACAGTAATGGAGGTGCTACATGAATAGCCTTTGTTCAAAGAATACTTCCACCTTTGTGCATAAATGAATAATGATTACATAACCTTCATGAGCACGTATCCAGTATTTTGTTTCCGTGTATTTCACAATAGTGGTCGGAAATTACCTTTAGATGCTCATGCTCCGACTGCAACCGTGAACTGGCAGTGGGGCAAAAGTCAACAATGACATCATGTTATTTAAATGGAATTTGTGAACTCTGTTTTAATCAGTTCTTTGTTTTATGTTGACGATTATCAAATATTGTGGTCTTTTCCCAATGTCATCCATGCTCACATCAACTTAACTGTTTGTATACATTGGTTAATCACCTTTGAATATGAAGGGGAAAAAGTCATTCATGAAGCATTTCCTGATAGCAATATTGTTATGAAACTTTCTGTTTTACGCTTGGAAATGGAATATATGCTTAGAAAAAAAACTGCGTTTGTAGTTTAACGGTTACCTTATTCCTTGAGTTGAGTTTAGTTCAGCTTATTTTTATATTTCGTATTTTCACGTTACACAGTGTCAGTTTTATTTTGATAACAAAAAATAGTCATGATACAAATAAAACATACAGTTAACAACGAAATTATTTATACCCTTACCAATTATTTTTTTATTTGTGTCCAATGCAAATGAATAATCAGCATAATTAATCACGAAGAATGCATAAATGCAAATCGGTAAAGTCTTGAGTACTACAAAGAAAAACGTAACATATCAATTAAGATGATGATAATCGTCACGTGATAGTATAATCTTCCATGGAATGCTTTATAGCTACTGCATCAAAGAGAGTTAATATTCTTGTATGCGTTATGTGTGTGTGTGTGTGCGTGCGTGTGCGTGCGTGCGTGTGTGTGTGCATACATGTGTGTATGTGTTTCTCTTTCTCTCTGGTTATTTTATCAATTATTTTCGAGCGGAATCCAACTGAAGATTTTACTGCTCGTCTGATCGCGAACTCATGCTTTTGTTTTGTTCCTTCACAAAATCACTTTTCATTTTCTTCGTTTAATATTCTCTTCCTTTCTTTTCTTATGCTATTCTTTTATTTTCCCTTCCCTCTTGTCTTTGTTTTATCTTACTACTGCTTTTTTCTTGTTTCAACTTCACTTTTTTTGTAAATCTTGATTTATCTTTCCTTGCGTTAATCTTTGTTTGTATCTTATCATCTTCTTTCTGCAGATAAGCTTCATTATGTTTTATGTTATATTTATCCTGTCATCTTCTCTCTCTGTTTTTCATTGCTTTTTAAATTTCACCTTTTTGTGGTGTTATCCTTCAAT